GAAAAATTTAAGGGGGTCTGAATACTTTCCGTACCCACTGTATGTGCTTTGAAACTTTCTAATTTGAAAATGATCTCTGACAGGTCTGACCAATCTCAGCCTGAAAAATAAACCCTTTTACTATGTAAATGTGAGTGTTCACACTGTATAATAGTGTGGCTTTTTAACATAATACCTAAGCTTTGAACACGTATCCCAGCAAAGAAATGGGTTTAAAATGGTGCAGGTTGGCAGAAGTGTGTGAGTAACTTGGATTTTTATGAATAAATCTGATTATTTTTCCATTATTTAGTCTTTAAAGTGCTGATTACAATTCTGCACAGCCTGATTAGATGCAGTATATTCAGCTGCTTGTTTGTCTGAAAAGCAGCCTAAAATACAAAGGCTTAGAATTTGCATAGGTATAAAACTAAGAAAGGCGGAAACACTTGAAAAGCTAGAGCTTGAATGTTTGGCATTTTTACTGAAATGATGAATCAGTGTACACTGCCAATCAAAGGTCTGAGATCACCTCCATTTGTTCAGTTGTTATAATTTCAATTCAACACACTTGTGCTTGTGCATTCATCGATGTGCGCAGAACACCACATTCTAATTTATACAGGATGTGGATTCAGTCAGTACACACACACAAAATGGGTGTTTGTACTTCCAAAAGGGAGACAGGAATCTCTACAAGTGAATATCAGACAGCAGAACAGACAGTGTGATTGGGTCATGAAGCAGCCAGCACTCACTCCATCATGTCTGTACTTGGGTTGGTGGAAGTCTGCCTGCCTGTCTGACTCTGATGGAGAGAAGAGGGTCGTCGAGGAACTATGAGAGATGGCGTCAGTGACTGCGGGGAGACACCTACAGTACCACACCTCAGAATATTAATACTTTATTTGGGTTTTTGAGAAACCCAAGAGGTGCATAAAATGGGGGGACAGGCTGCCAAGCAAAACCTGTGGGATAAATGGCTGTTTGTTATGAAGAAAACAAATAGTGCATTTAGACATGTTAGACTTTCCAAATCATTCACCCATGAACATGTGTAAATCTAATAACATCATCATTATTATGTCTCTATAGAGGGTAAAGAAAATAAGATACACTAACATTGTCCTTGCAGTGACACCGTTTGAATGAAGCTTACAGTAAAATATTCAGTTTGTGCTGATCTTGCTCCTCTTACGCCGGTGCAGTTTTTGTTTGCCAAATGTCACCTTGGTTTTTGTGACTTTCCTCCTTGCTAAACAACATTTTGTAATAATGTAACAGCAAATCAGGCAGCAGTTGTTGAAAAACACAAGGCACCTATGCAAACGAGTCCCACTAGCATGTCACACAGTTACTGCAGCAGTGTGAAGTGTATCAGCTTTACCATGAATATAATGAGGCCAGATTATCATTCACTGCTATTACATTAGTTGCACACACAAAGTTAATGGGGGGGGGGCTACTTTGCCCACCCCCTGTACCTGAAGATATTTTCCCTTTTTTCTTTGGCCAACTTTAAGTTTTAAATAACAAGCCCACAATGAGTGAACACTCACTGACTTCCAGTGTGTCTGTCTTGTTTTGCAGCTAACCGTCTCTGGCCTGTAGCTAGTGGCACGGAAAGGGGGGGGGGGTTTACATAGTTTGCAGCAGGCTCTTTGGCCAGAATGTAATGCACTGTTTTCCTCTGCTCAGCTGACAGGTCCCTATTGCTTGGCAAGCAACACCATGGATGTGTGGGGTGGAGCTGGAGGTTGCTAATTCTTTATGGCATGTGCTGGCTAAAGCTTCATTGGGGAATTCAAGTGGGAATATCCAGGGTTTATATTTTAATGGTAGTGATTGATGCTGAACACAACCGGTCAGTCTGTTATTGGACTACACTTGAAGAAGCTGGTGTTAGCCAATATTTACACACAAGCTGTACAAAATAACAGTAACATCTATATATAATAGCCCTGTGAATAAAATGTGGTGAAGCTCATAATGAATGGATTTTATTTAGAAGTGTTAATTAAACTCCTTTTTGGACTTGTCTCCGTACAACATCATGTATCCGATTGTCTGTAAATTACAAATTGAAAAACAGTGAAGTTATCACTTGGCAGTATAAGTGAAGTGTAACAGGATTTTAGCATTTGCCATGTTTATTGCTGTGTTTTTGTAACTTCAGTTTGAATCAACACCTATTAGTCTCAATCAAACAATATAAGCCTCACAGTGGTGGAGTTTGTCATTAGCTTACATTGTACTGTAAAGTCCCCCTGGTACTGAGATTCTAAATTCCACATCTTAGCACTTATTATCTCGGTTAGGTGCTAAATATTAACTGTGATCCCTCCAGCTAAAAGCGTCCATGCTTGGCAGTGTGAAATTGAAAATATAACATGTGATTTACACTGCCTCATCTGAGCTTTACTGTATAAGGGTCTTTAGCTCAGATTTACAGAGATGTACTGTTGTTTTCTGGGAAGTTCTAGTTTTATTTTGGCTCATAAATGGGTTCATCACAAAAGATCAGTTATGTCAGTAAGTGCTTGTGCTTCAACTATGAAAAACTGCAGCGGGAACTCTCAGGACTCGTGCTTGAAGACAAAATGCGACAGCAGCTCCGCAGTGCAGCTGGGTGTCGCAGTTGTGGGTGTTTTTAACATAGAGATTTATGGTGAAAATGTTAAGAAAAAGCTGTAAATCATAACATGATCCTAATCTTAAAATTGCATCTTAAAAAAAACATAGGCTCTATTTAACTAATGATGCATATGAAAAAAGGAAAAATGCAAAGCATGTAGCTACAGTGACAATATCTTCATTTGATAAAATGTACAAAAGTCATTATTTTTAGTTAAAAAGAATCCATATTAGTGATTACTGAATAAGTTAGTTATTAATGATATTGAGCTGGCATGCTGATTTTATGGCCACAAACCTTCTAGAGGTCATAATTATGGTGACAACACTGTTATTAAGAGCCTTTTAAAGAACATGTAACGTTGAGTTTATGTGGGTATTTGACTCCATGAAATGACATGCACACTCAGAAAGAAAGGAAAGTCAAAACTACCAAGCAAAGGCAGCAGAAGTCAGGACTCGTTTTGCCTTTGTCAGTGCCAGTTCTTCATCTGAGTACTGGATGCAAAAGGGAGGTGAGGGAGTGTTATTCAGCAATTAGCCACAAACTAGGCCTCTCTCGATAATTTATGTATATCATTGTCATAAAATGGGAACATGTAGTGGGCTGACTTCATAGGCTACTAGTGCCAAACATACTAAATATGAAGCAGTTGGTTTTCTACTTTCACAGCACAAAAAAAAAACATGCTATTTGCTCCAGAAAATCCAAAAGGGGGAAAAGGGATTAAATCACTAAATCACAAAAGGGATGATAATAAAAGTAATATATATATATATATATTAAAAAAAAAACATGATGCAAGAGTTCAGGTGAAAAAATAAACCCAAAAAAGAGTTTGAGACCAACTTACGATCTGCCGCTGATCAAAAAAGTGGCTTCAAAAACTAAAGAGGAAACAAAAACGTAATATTAGAAAAGAAAAAACCTTCAAATTTTTAAATAAATTGTTAATGTAATAAGCACAAACTCAGAGAACAAAGTATGGAAACTCAGTATAAAAAATTAAATAACTAAATGTATTAGTGTCAGTAGCCATTTTGATCAAGCTTAACTTTATTAGGATTTACTATCTTATCCACTCAAATGTTTACTCAATTTGATACTATAATAAATAATAAGACCTTATAGAAAGCAAAAAAAAAGTTTCAGAATTTACTTCACAAGCTGAAATGATAAACTAAAATGAAACTCATTTTTTGTCTGAACCAAATTGAATAAATAATAAATAAAAATAGGGCCTTAGGTTATTTGGCAGGACAGACAACCAGAATGTTTTCAGCACTGATGCTTGTGTTTCCTGGAACAATATACAATGTAATTATTTAATATTTATTTAAACTACAAGTTTGATTTTACTCTTTAAAGTAAAACCGCTAAGTGGAGTACAAACCACTACTCCTTTAGAAACTACTTAGCTGTCTGTTTATTTGTGCCTACACTTCTATGGATGTGCAAAGTGACATCAACCAGCATAGGCAAGAAAATATCAGACACTAGCATAAGCTTCAAAGTGCACAATAGAGTACCACCAGTCTGGGGGAATAGGTGGCTCCCAGCTCTTTCCTCCTGACTACCCCCCTTGTAAGGACCAGAGTAAAGGGTTGGCTGCAGAACAGAACAGTGCCCCTGGAGCCTGAAGAGACTCCTGCTCAAGGACACTTCCAGAGGACACAGTTGGGGACAGGGGAGGTGGGGTACGGTGCAGCTGTGGGAGTCATAGTCACCCCTGCCTTTCTTGCTTATTTTTTTTATATTCTTTAGTTTTTTTCTCTCTCAGACATATAGTATAATCAACTGATCAGTCAAAAAGTTACATAATTAAAAAAGGAACAGAACATTTTAGAGGTCTAGGCCTGATGACAGATCTCTGCAGGCCCTTCTGTAGTCGATCATCCAGTGTTTAAGCAGCTCCACAGCTCAGAATAAAATGCTACTGTCTCTCAATCTGCAAATGCACTTTAATGATTACATCAGAATTACCAAATACACACATTATGTCACACCAATGCTACAAAAATCCCAAACACACCAAACACGCAGTGTGTTAATGTTCCTTTAAAAAAAACACACCCACGTGTTATTAAGTAAAAAACATCGTGCCTGAAAAAAATTACATAATTCCTAAGAGGTTCGCTGCAGACAATATACCATCTCAGCACAGTCAGGATCAGAAACAAAATTTGAGGATCACGTTTTACGAATCAAGTTACCGGTGGGAGCAAAACACAAGATGAGAACGAAAACATTTTTAAAGCTTTTTTTTTTTTTTAAGCGACCAGTTTGGAGCACTGTCCAGAAAACACTGGAACAATCTTCCATATTTCTTTCCTCGGAAATACGACCACAACAGACAATAACTCAGCAGCCCTGAAAAATTCTGATTTTAAAGTGTCTCATTTGAAAAAAAAAAGCAAAAATCTTGTCGTGAACGCTACTTAATACTAGTGTCTGCGTAGCTCACACTGCCATCACAAAATGTACCCTACTAAAGCCAACACAGTCTCGGGAATAACAGGCAGGAAAAATGCATTAAAAATAAAAACAAAAAGTCCCAAACACGGTTCAAAGTCAGGAAAAAAAATATAAAAATATGGGAAAAAAATCTCTCGGTTAAAAATACTCACCAGGAGCTTAATACTAAAAATGAGTAAAATTCAATGCTGTTTTAACGTGAGTAGGTAAAGATCCGCTTACGACTGCAGCTCGTTTGTATCACCTTGAAACCAGTGGACACGAAATGGCGTCGACTCATACAGACAACAGGAGGGTCACGCCCACTGCTGAATTTCAGCTTGTGATTGGATATTTAAAGCGCCCGTGTGACTATAGCCCTCACAGATTGGCAGATGCGCGTGCCAATCTGTGGCTCACTGATGACGACACCCGTAGGTAATGTAGTATGGATTTCTAAACCATTTATTTATAGGTTAACACATAACGCTAACAGCTATAAAGCGCGAGGCAAAGCCACATTCGTGCTAAACTCTCGTTTGGCAGCTTTGAAAAGCAGATAATGGTGATAAACATAAGAAGAGACACATAGCTGTATTCTACAGCTGTTTGGCCCTGACAGTGACACAGAGAGGGAGGGAGAGAGCGAACATAGAGCGAGACGTGAACGCGCTGTGACAGAGCGCGCATGAGCAACAGTCGACGAGAGCGCACAGACGAGAAGACAGGGGAGATGGAGAGTGGTGTTACACACTGAACTAAAACAGCAGAATACAATGTAACCTGAAAGAGTGAAACGTAATGTAAGGGTTTTAAATATAAAGTAGTAGTACAGAATAGGCATGTTTGTTTCACCATATTTTGAACCTTTATTTTGTCAAAATGCTTGAGCTAATAATGCCCTTCTGTTTCCATGTCGATATGTTTCTTATTTTAACACGAACCATATCGCTTTCAAAATTACTCGAGTCTTGGAATCTAAAATGTAGGCTACAAAACATTTATTGTAGGTTGTACACATTTGATTTTTACTGTTTACACAAGTGTTTGATATGATTTTATCCAAACAAATTTGCACAGAATTTTCTCTTTTAAAGAAACATAGAATATCAGCAGTCCACTTCAATTTTTGTGAGAAAGGACCTGAGAAGTAAACAAATGTGGGTTTAGTTTAACATGTTTGAGAGAAAGAAAAAGTGTGTTCAAGAAATCATCACATTAAGCACCTGGGATGTCAGCCTGCGGTTTGGTGTCCAGCCTCCGGATGGGCTCAGGTGTTCTCAGCACCTCCTCCATCTTACAGTGCTCCTCACTTTTTTCACTCACCTGGAAAATCAGCAGATATTTAGTGATAAGACAATGCTGTTTTCTAATTTCTCTTAGAATCATATTGTTGGAGCATCATAAACCAAACCTGAGTTTGCTGATGCTTCCTCCTGCCTACAAGAGTGTTGGGGCCTGGGCTTTGTGCTCCACTTCGCTGTCGTTCCCGCTCTCTTTGAAGCAGGATGGCTTGCCGTGTGGTCCGGTACTCTAGAGAAAAGTTACTGATGGTTTTACAGAAGTCCTCTGCTTTGGTGTCTCTCACCATAGCTCGGAAGTAGCCTAGAAATAAGAGGAAGAAGTGGAACCTGGAGAGACAGAAATGAAGAGGAAAACAGATGTATTTTTAACTAAAATACCAATAAGACAGACTAACAGTTATTTATTCTATTAAATAACTAGAACACCTGTTCAAAACCCGACGATGGACAGCTCTGAGGACCTTCAGCCTCTCCTCGCACTCTTTCAAAATCTTTGGCAGCCTGTGACGAAGAGAGCCTTCTTGGGCTAAGGCCTCATCTCCATCTCCTCCTCCTAATCTCTTCTTCTCCCCCTTTCCTCCTTTCCACTTTTCCTCAGCATTCTCCAGTATTTTCAGCTGCTCCCATAATGCTTTGCACAGGGCCTCCAGCTGAGTGTGGTTGGACTGGACTAGGGAGTAGTCACACTGTAAAAATGAGAAAAAGAAAAGGAAGTTTGTCCATTTTGAAGTGGATGGTTATTGAATTACTTTGGCTGTTGTTTAAGTCTCCCGCAAATGGATCTTGAAAATAAATTAAAATGAACTGTGTTGATCTTTATTCAAAATTATTAAAATAATTGTCCCAAGACTCATGTGCAGCATAGAATACACACTCAGGAGACAAACACACATGCACAAAGGCACAACTACACACCTTGCCAGCTTTAGTAACAGCAGTGATATCAGAGTAGAGGTCAGAGGATTGTGGGTAGAGCTGCAGCAGGAGCGCACAGATGTGGTGCAGCAGGGGCTGACGGGATCGTGTATCCCTCACCTGGGACAGCTTGCCCAGGTAACTCAGCTCAAAGCCACGGGCCTTTGCATATGAAAACGTGGAAGAAAAAAGGATTCACTAACATCTAAAACTGTGTTAAAGATGGGCGACAGAAAGTCACAAAGCACTTAGGTTATATCCACTGAGAAAGTTACCAATCACTAGCACAGTTGCCAGAATACATCTAAAGGTTTGGCTGGCTACTAGCTGCTAGCTGCTCCATAGCTAACTTCAGATGGAAGAGAGGCTCAGCAATTTCCTGTTAGGAGGAGGGACACATATAGAGTGCAATGTGATGATTCATACACACTAGGTGAGCCATCAGATTTGTGTTTTATTTTTAGCCTGGTGACATCTTTGGTGATATAATATCATGACCATGTTTTTGTTATGCATTCCTAGGAAATTACTTGTCAATCAAACAATACTGTGACAGTAAATTTTTATTTGAAGATGTAGAATCTGTGGGTGGCACCATGGTGATCAAGCTAATGCTAACTACCTAAATTTTTGTTTTATTGTAAATGCAAATTTAGCAGTTTCTACTGAAGCTTTCAAACCTGATTTTTTGCATCAGGTTCACAAAACTGACATCTGGCTTTATAGAATGCTGTTGATACTATTAAGTACAAAAGAAACAATTTCCCTCTCATTCCTATACATTTTCATTCCACTTTCACTTACCCGCTCTAAGGAGTCATAGTCCAGAGCGAAAGCCCACAGCTGAAGCCTGAAGACCAGGTGAGGGATTTCTCCTAAGGTGAGCAGGCAGAGCTCAGCCTGGTCTAGAGGACAATGGGGCTTCTGGGTCTTGGCCTCCTTGATCAGACACAGTTCTTCCTCTGTTGGGATTAATGTTTGAAGCCGCTGTTTTAGGAAAAAATGTAAAAAGAAATTAATTTAAGTTGACTCTATGTCTCTTGTCTCTCAAGTTTCATTTCAGTATAATAAAGATATGGAAAGGGCATTAAACTGCTTAGCTGTTGCCTCACAGCAGGAAGGTTCGGGTTCAAGCCCTGGCCAACCCGGAACCTTTCTGTATGTTATGGAGTTTCCATGTTCTCCCTGTGCCTACGTGGGTTCTCTCTGGGTACTCCAGCTTCCTCCCACAGCCCAGAGACATGCAGCTTAGGCTGGTTGGCGACTCTAAATTGCCTGTAGTACTGCGTGTGAGTGTGTGTGGTTGTCTATGTGTCAGCCCTGTGACAGACTGGCAACCTGTTCAGGTTGTACCCCGCCTCTCGCCCAGTGTTAGCTGGGATTGGCTCCAGCCCTCTCCGCGACCCTCTTCAGGATAAACAGTATAAATAACTGATGGATGGATTAAACTGCTTATGCAATAAAAAGCAAATTTCAAAAGCTGAGGCCCCTCTACTGTACCTGAATATCCTCTCTGTCCAGCACACTGTTGTCCATGCTGTGGATAGCAGGAGGGAGGAGGCGGGGAGGGGGCAGGCTGCTCAGCGCAATGGTGATGATGTTACTTCGCTTCATCCCCAACACTGAGACTAATGGCTGCTTCTGTGTTGTGATAAAGTATGAGAAAAGTTAATTAAGGTATACAACGGTTTCAAATGCCACTACCTTTTGCATACTTTGTTATGATGTAGATTTAATTTAAATGGATACATTTCACCATTTTTACACATCAATAGCTACTCTGAAGGCCCACACCATCCTGATAAAGGCAATATGAATAAATATAGGTGCATTCCCAGAGAAATGTTGTGCCACATGCTTTAATTTTCATGATTATTTAATAATAATCAACCTCCAGGAGAATCATAATCACAGCATGGACTGCAGATGACTCCTATGGAGTATTTTTTGTCAGTAAATTCAACAAAAGTACAAAGCACACAATGCATCCTTTGTCAAAATCTTAGAAAATGTCACTACCTGTGGAGCTTGTTGTCAGGATTAAATGACCATTTTATATAATGACTGTGCAAATGTGTTTCTCACCATTTCTCCAAAGGTTTACATAAAAAGAGAAACTGGTGTAGAGCTATGAACTGATCTAGTGTAGTAAAACTGGCTGCTTCTTGAAGGAAACACCATTATACTCTAGATCTAGGTCTTACCTGCCACCCAGAAACCATGTTAAAGCAAATACTATTGTCCTTAGACTCAAAGAATACTCCAGCTGGTTTGTATCCAGATGAACTGGCTCAAGGCTGGCCCAAATAGTTTGAGTCCCAAAGTGTGTCATCCTGGGGAGGGGAGCCAAAGTCTGCAGCTCCCGCCAGTGGAGCTTCAAGGTGTGACATTTAATGGCTGCACCTTTAGGGGAGGCCAAGGGTAAAGCTGAGGCAAGTGGAGGAGGAGGAAGAGGAGGGGGTGTTGGAGGGACCCGCAGACTCGGTGATGATTGATTGATTAAGCTTGATCCCTTATCCACTGTACTGTCTTCCTCATCTCAGAGGTCTGAGAAATCCAAGGCGTTGAGACAAAGACGAGCAGCTGGTTTTGGGAAAGAATCCCAGGATTGGTTGAAATCCCAGGTCAGGAGGTTATCCTTGGTTTGATCTGACTCCTTCATTGGTCCTTCAGTGATGTCTGTGACTCAAAAAGAAAGATCTCTTGATAGCATTACTTTGAAAAATCAAGTTATAATTTCTATTTTTGTACTTCAGAATAGGTGACTCCAAAAAACACGCTCCTTCTCCAAGGCCTTTTGGATCAGATCAGACTAAGTGCATATTTACTGAGTCCTAATGCTCCGCACAATAGCAAAACTTGATTTTATTTCTCACTGTGCGGTTAGCAATCACCTCACAGATGCTGTGTAAATGTCTGTGGATGCTCTGCTTCACTTGTCATCCACAGGAAGGCATAACTCACACAACCAAATCACAATCTTCAAGCCACCCTTGAGTGTTCTCACTGTACTGTAACCTGCAATTGCCTTGAGTGCAGTGTTTGTCCCCCCACTAAAATGATGAATGGCGTTTGATCCAGAAGTTGTTTGTTGTCCTGCTTGTGCATCCGAGACCTACAACCTCAGGAAAAGAGACACATTTCATGTGAGCTTTGAAGGGCTTTATTTAGTACTGCGCTCAATTCTGATGAGAAAATCCAAGGAACAATTTTCAGCGGAGCTTCCAGAATATCCAAATGACATGCTTCTGCAGCTATCCCTGGACATTCATCTCTCTCTCTGTTACTCTTTCTGTAAATGACAGCGAGTAAGAGACAGCAAAATAAAAAGAGAGCGAGACACACTGGTCTGTTGGCGTATTTGAGTTGCACCCTTTCCCTTAATTTCCTTATCAATTCTGCATCTCCTGTTTGTATTGCCTCTTGGGTATACACAGACCTCTTTATCTGCCTCTGAAGATTTTTTTTGTTTCCCTCCTCTTCTCCCCTGTAAGGGCATAAAAGATCACGATTGACCAAATTTTGCCTTGAACTAATGTTTTTAATACATACAAGCAAGACATGTGACAGTGTTTCAGTGTATATGCTCACATGGAAGTGCAAATCTTCATCCAAACATGTCTGATTACAGACAGCGGTGAAAAACAAAGGAAGAAATATTCTTTAATAAAACATAAGGCTGTCAGTACACATGTGCAGTTATAAAAACACTGCACTGGATCTGGGTAAAACAAATCATAAAATATCACTCTATCCTTAAGGGTCTCTAAAGGGGTCATCTGCATGGTTGACACGCAGCCATAATGACGATACCTCCCTGAACCATTACACTTCCCCTAATTACACTATATCTCCTTTAGTAGATGCAGTAGTGGGGCGTATGGGACATTTGGGCCAAAGTGAGCTCAATTTGCAACTCTTAGGTTCTTTTTAGGCACTTTTTTTCTGGTTGACTTACAAAAGCACACTGAGGGCCACTGTACCAGAGTCAAATTCCTTGTGTGTTCAACACTACTTGGCAAATAAAGATGATGCCGTTTCTGACCATTCAATACATACATTTGAGTGTGTACTGTTTCTCTAGGCAGCTAAACGCCTTATTTTCCGTACAGCTAAACTCCACACATCGCAATGATGCAGTTTTTGGGCCTGATGATTAGTAAGCTCATAAAACCACTTATGATTAATTCCCATGCAGCTGGAAAGCCAATCACGCATATACAATATCCTACAAGCCCTTCGACTACTGTTTTCAATTATCCCTTTATTTTGAAAGTCCTGAATAAACGTTTCCCCTGCTGCCTTTCCGCGCTCACGCGTTGTTTTGGGAACCCGGCGAGCGCGCGCTTCCCGTTCCGTAGCCGCCTGTCATCGTTCGGGCTGACATCACACGGAGGATTCGCCACAATGTCAAACATCCACAAGCAGCGCGAGCTCATGGCTTCCCCGCGCCACAATGAGAAGCGTCGCCTCGTGCTCCTGCTCATCCTATAAAGACAAAACTCCATTCACCTTTTATGGGTTTATGTTCCCGGACAGGATGCGTTTGAGGTAAGATGGGTCACTCTGTTCTTCTTTTTTTAATCGCTTATAATTAAGTTAATTTCGTTTCCCATATAGGTTTCTATCAAAATGATTAATAGTTCATTCTAATACAATTAGAAAACCTGATTTTAATGTTGCCAGCACCTTTTTTTATTCACCGTTTCATCGTTTTTCATCGTTTCAAAGTTGTCCGGCTCCAGCAGTGACTGTCGTAGGCTATTACGTAATCGGAGTGCGGAGACTGCTCATTGAGCTGCTGTTATGACAAATCTCTGATGGCACGACCCCGCTGCTTACGTTAATACAGCGTCATGTGGAGCTTCTCTTTTCTTTTCATTTATGGACAAACAATACGAAAAAGAACCTGAAATTACGCACAGTTATTATTGGCCCAACTAGGCTATAAATTCTCCACAAGTTGCATAAAAACGAGCTTACTGTGGAAACAGTAGCTCTGTCAGTGGAAAAAAACACTATGTAATATGACTTACTTAAGCCTCATAGAGTCTTTTAATACATTTTCTATTTTGTATTTTTATTGATACATTTTTTCAGGTATGGGACATGCATAGCAATAAAACAAAGATGATTCTTTAAAAATTATATACAGTTAATAGTTTGGGGTTTGGCTATATGATAAAAATCAATATCACAATATTAATACAACCTTAGATTTGTTACAACTTTTTGGTAGGGCACCTTAGTTTTATAAGTTGTAACACTGTCATGTAAGAGGAGAATAAAATCCAATCAAACTGGCTTATACCTGATCTAAAAAGCATTAGTTATTAATTTCTCAACTTAATTTTCAGAGCTATCACAATTTAAATTAGTATTGAATATGTTTCTGATACTGACACAAAATGACAAATATAGGCAAACTCATATGTAAAGTAATGATAATGTATGAACTATTATGATTTACAAAACTGAATCCAAAACAAATCCTTGATCCCTCATCATAAGGGGCCACTTAGTTATTCCATGAGTTATTCAGCCAGTCTGTGTGCTGGTGTGTGTCCCAGCAGGTCTGTTTGAGTGTGTGAACCAGGTCAGAGGTCATGCTGCGGAGGGAATCTGACTCCCGCGGCCTCTTTTCCTCCGGCGAGACGTCTGACAATGACTGTGAGGTACAGTTGCCTATTTATATCAGTTTTGTGCATAGCTCATGAAACTATATGCGGCATTCATTTACATTTTGTGACCTGTAATTGACTCAAACTTCCATTTTAACAATAGTGATGTATAGCTGATAGTTGCGATGAAACTATATATTCCATTGAAACATCTGGTAATGTAACACCCTGTGAAATACTGTAGTTATAGCCCTGCTGCTATCTGCTTCTTTGACTGAATCACATGGATTTATCATCAAATGTCTGCCACTACCAGTCACCCATCCTTCACTTTTGAGCAGTTCAAAATGCAAGTAGGTGAAAAAAGTGAAAAGCCAGAACTCTCACAGCTAAACCTCTGGTAGGGATGCATGGTATTAAAACTTCTGTTGATGATACCTGATAAACAACTGTCTCCATGTCCATCCTATATGATACTGTTAAATATTATATGCTTGTGTCCATCACTGCTTCACTCTTGTATTTTAAAGCTACTCTACTTAATTTCTTTCCAGGCACTAGAGTATCTAGTGAGACTCAAAACAAAGTCACACATTAACTGTTCCACACTGCTCTTTCCTTTCCCACCAGAGGGAAGAATATCTCATCTGAATCAAATTTGAGTCCTTTGGCTGTTTTTAACACAAAGCCAAACCAATGTTAACCCTGGTATCTGGTCTTCCTCTGTCCCTGAACACGGCCTCTTCAGTCTGGCAGCCACTGTTTTGGACTTTGTTGATGAGAGGTCCTTTGTAGCAGAGTATTTGACAATTCTTTTTTTTTTTTTAGCTTTGCTAGGTGGCAGGGTTTGGCTAATTTATGGACTATACTTTGACAACACAGGGTAGAAAAGCTGGAACAACAGCAGAAGCACTGTAGGCAGCAGAGTGTCGCTGAAGGGGGGGTAGTGTAGCTGAGAGACACCATGTCCTGTCCCATTTTCACTTGAACTGTCAGATAATATGTAAAATCGTAGTTAATGTGCCTTTAAGATAAAAAGGAAGGAGAAGGTATGTCAACAGATCACAGTTATTTATCCTCTCTGTCTTTCTCTCTCTGTCTCAGAGGGGGGTGAGTTGTGGAGAGGGAGACATAGTGTGTCTGTGCGAGGCTGGTCCCTGTACACTTTATTCAGGAGCACATACACCTACGCCGGTGAGTGCTCAGGCTTCTCACTTAAGCGTCTGTGGCCATCGCTCAGCCTGCTCGGAGCAGAGTGTTTCTTCATCTGTAATTGTGCTCTAAATACACGCCTTTAACTTTCTGCCGACCTCTCTGTCCCTCTGTTCCTGCCTTTGTGTTTTTACTGTATATTTTAGAGGAATACTTGCTGAAGTCAACCAGTCAATCGGTCTCTGCTTTCTCCTTGCTTTCTCTTCTCAGGAAACACTGCTGTGTGAACACTGTGGAAAAAACAGAGTAATGATAACCAGGTACTCTGAGGGATATGGCACAGAGGTAATGTGTGAGTGCATATGTGCTTTTGTGCATACAGTGTACATACTTCAGGCACTTGAGTATCTGATTGTCAGATACAACACCTTATTAAGGTTTTTGAAACATGTTTCACTTTGAGACGTAGCTGGAAAAGGGGGTTCAGTAAAACGCAACTCCCTGCTGTGTTTTTACACAAGGGGCTGCGTTGGTTGGAGGGTGAGGGGTTGCAGGGGGAGTATTGTAGGTGTGTAGGCCACGTTGTGACGAGTCAAGTCAGCTTCATTAACATCCAGTACCCTAACTAAGGAAAACACATGGTGTGTTATTATGGTGGCCCATATTAAATAGTGAATACTCATGCTAACAGGGTAAACAAAAGTCTTCTTTCTGTGGGCGCCCACATTTGCCAGGTGATGTCATCATCTGGTGTGGCAAAAGTTGAACCAGATCCAACTTTGGGTTGTAAACCTAGACAGTATGTCATTTAGTGGTAGGTAGCAGTCTTTGCACATAAGCCACTAGTCAGGAGATAGGATGTAACTACCAGTTTAAGAGCTCATTGGCCATGTGGAGAGGTGTCAACTGATTCATGCATAATAACAGCGGTAATAATAAATTGTGATGCATGAGCACACTCACACAGACAAATGTCGTCATTATGTGTCATTTGTGGTATAGTTGCAGTCGGTGATGATTCACTGGTGTTTGATTAGACAGCAACATAAAAGCAGGATACAGTGAAAAAGGCATTATATTTTTTCTCAAAAGAAAAATAGTTGTCATACTTTACCCATTTTAACAGCTGCCATCATAATATATGTGCATAATTTGTGTCTTTCTTCACACTTTCTCTATGCATGCACATTTTTTAATCTTTGTGTTTTTTCTCTGCAGGAGGAGTGTGCTTTGTCTGACCCTCAGGGGGAAAGTGACGCAGATGCTGATATAGAGGACGCAGATTGCAGGTTCGGTATACACAAACTCACGCATATTCACACACCTTACGTCTTTGCTTGTAGTTCTTCCCTTGTAATTGTCTGACCTTGTGTTTTGAACCTGAATGGTACAGACTCCAGGAGCCAGGTTCACTCCAGCGGATCAGCTCGCGGAGACGCAAACGTCCACGGGTAGCGCGGCAAGACACCACCGAGAGTGAAGACGATGGTGGGCGGAGCCACAGATCCCATCGCTGGAACCTCAGGCTCAGTCCTGACAGAGCACACAGCAGGACCATTCTGGAGGTAAAGAACATAATAATGTAGAGTCCTGTTAGCCGTACTCTTTAGTTTCCCACTAAGGCACAATTCAACACAACACAGAGGCTTCAGAATTAATGTGTTTTTACAACTGTTCTAGACGTTTTATGTAAAAATGTAGATGAGTACATCACAAAGCAAGGCTGCAACAGAGAAGCCGTGCAATTCTTACTACTTTAAATCCATAACAATCAAATGAAATCTGTCTTAACACTTCAGAGTTTCCAGAAAAAGGCAAACTATGGAGAAATGGTAGCGTATAATTTATTTGAATAAAGTTTAATTTAAATAGTATATGTGATGATATGCATTTTTACAATACTGTTCTATTTGTTTTTGTTTTTTTATTTTGATATTAATTTTGAGTTTGTTAACCATGACTTTACAAATGACAGTTTTTTTATGACATGTTTCAGTGTAGGGCTTCAAGGTTGATGTGTTTGAATTATAAACAGATCAGTTCTCCTTCCTTTTTTAACCACTAGAAGTGCTAGAGCAGTGTATATGTATTAGTGGGTCCTTGATTTATTTTTATCATGTGTTGACAGGTACTGTAAGTGACACAGTGCAGACACCCCAGCTGTTTTTTCACTTTGACTGACAGGAAATGCAGCAATGAGCCAGCAAGGGCACCCAGGATGAAGCCTGCTTGCTAGAAAACATGAATGTTAACAATTTAGATTTTAGATATGTAAAAAAATATCCTTGCAAATGTTTTAAGAAGGAAATGCATGTTTATTAAACATCAGCCTCAGTTGATTTGGGTAAGAAACACTAAATGTAAATAGAACTTTATTTCCACATGGCACCTTTAAAGGCTTATATATTGGGCTTATATTTTGTAGATACAAAACATGTGAATTATTAATATGGGTGAATATTTCTGGTGGACCAATAATCAGGTATAACCTACAATACCTCTTTCTTCTAGGAGAGCATATCACAGGTCAGGCCGCTGGTCATCTGTCAGCCGAACATCGAAAGGCAGAAGAGTCCAGGTGAACTGCCCCGAGGCTCCAAGCTGATGTCTCTGTGGCCGTCATCCCTCTCTCTCCCTCTTATTCTCCTCCTCTCGCTGCCTCTCTCTCTCTCCCTTGTCATTGTTATTGTGTCTTTCCTCCTACCATGGGCCAGAGCCTGACCCAGCTCTTCATCTGCAAAAGAAGAGTTTCATTCCAAAAATTACAGAAAGTCACTCTTGACATGTAGTGGATAGCACAAAATGGAAACAAAACTATGGTGTGTTAAGACAGGACAGCATGCTTTTAGAAATATTGAATTCAGATTTTCTGTTTTATCTACCAGAGTATATGAGATTACATTTAGAAGCATTTAAAATATCTTCTTTTTTAGGCAAAGTCGAACATTTGGCTCCATTATAACCAAAAAGGCACAAGTTGGAATAGTTCAGTGTTTCATACTGCACCTGTTAAAACAACACTCTATACAGAATCTGTTCATGACAAAAACATCAACCTTGTGCTTGCTTCTGCCTCATAAAATCTCACCTTCCATCTCACTTCCTCACCCCCTCATTTGTAAAAATAGACCTCTTGTCTCGCTCCTTGTTCTAATGAGCCACAGGAGCGATAGGTGGGGGGAAAGGTTTCACGGCTGCACAGGTACATTCAAACTGTAAAATAACAGACTCACTAGGAAAACGTAAACGACAATGCTGCTGAGCTATGCAATCTCTCTGTTCCTACTACGGCATCTGAACTGCTGTAAAAGAATGTCTCCTATGTCCTTGGTAGTCGCCTCACCTTCTTGACCCCTTTTCTCTCTGAGGAATACTGTAGTATTGCGGACTGGTGGTTCTAAAATAGAGCATGACCCGATTAAAAAAGCAATATCGGAGAAGAGATCTGATTGTGTATGATCTACAGTACATCTGTTGTTTCATGAATAGGGTACATGTATGATTTTACTTGTTGCACACTGGATCCTTCTCTTTTTTCCTGCCTGCACTTGTGTATGTTTTTAGTAAAATAAGGTGACCTCACATTAAAATGAGCTTTAGTGGAAATTAATTATGTTAAAGCAATTTAAAGATTTAACCAAACTATGTTTTAGTCTTATAGTTCAAACATTACTATCATATTTAATATTATTTATGTCTGTGTTTGTGAATTATTAGCTAGAAGAAAGGTGAGCTTGACAATCAGTCATGCTGCTTATTTCAAATTGAAATAGCTTCTCTGTACTGTATATTTAATGTTATGTTTTTTGTATGATTTTGAAGTCATGTTTTTTTTTTTACACCACACTGAGGTTGCTTATATTCCTGTGGAGAAATGTTTCCAAATTAAGATCACGTTGAGCTAAGTGAATTAATGTCTAGGACCTTTTTGTCTTCTAACTTGTTGCATTGCCTTATATCTTAAATTTAATTTCCACGTGTATGTTCACCTCTGTTTCATGGAGCCATAAAAGTTCAATAAAACTAGATTGTATTTTGACAAAAAAAACCATCTTTTTTGTGTAAACTAGCAGTGTAAAAACACCATGTTGTGGTTTTTTGAGGGCTTATGTGTGAGACCACTGCTTAATTAGACACATCCGGAGTCTCTAATGGTAACACCCTTAAAAGCACAACTTGCTTTTACACTTCAGGATTTGTAAGGGTAAAAAATGAGATGTAACATGTTACTGAGATTTAGAGGTATGCTAGACTGATTGGATGGAGGCGTGCTCCCTGTTAATTTTGGTAAGTTTTTCCTGAAATGCTGAACTGTTCCTTTTAATTTTTATACAGTGTCTCCTACAAGTGAAGATGATACTTGCCCTTCTTCTCCTATGAAGAATGCATGTCCCAGCAGGGCTTGTAGCTCTTGCGGAAAGGGCCTGAGGGGGAGGGTCCCATAACGAGGTTAACACTCTTCACTCCTCCTCTCATTGTTGTCATGGTAACAATCAGGACTGCAGAGGAAACAGACTTCTCATCAGTAGATTGAGAGCTACTGCCCAGAGTGAAACACATAACTGTAGGTGATAATGTGAATGCAGTAACATCTGCACATCATCTGTGTAACAAACTCAGGATGTGAACATGATGGTAAACAATACGTTTAACTTTGTTAATGCGACTCTGCTCTCCTCCATATCAAATAATGCTTTGCTCTGTGGCATTTACAGAAAAGTTGTTTTCAATATATGATTCAGTTTTATTTTTTAAATTTCAATGGAGCTGTGTGATGGTTGGATACAATACATTGATTGTACAGAGCTTTTTCAGGGTGTCTCTAAAAAGCATGTGTATTCTGAGCTGCAAAGCTGTAAAGAAGGCTTTCTTTGACATTTGAATGCTTACACACAACACAATCTTCAGAAAATTTTAAAATGTAAAATATTTAACTCAAGTTTTCACCTTATTTAAATTCATCTTCTCTTTTTGCATAGGTTCGATTATTAATCCGACTCATTTGTCTGCTTCTTTGAACCTCCTTGTGTGTCTGCACAGCAGGTACTGTACACTGTGTGTGTGCGATGCCTCACACATGAGTGGCAGAGTCATTGTGTCTTCAGGTAGGAGTTTGTTTAAAGCGAGGTTTTGGTGCCCACCAGTTTCATTTCCCGCACACCCACTCATTGTGCATTAACTTCAGAGCATTTCAACAGCAACTCACCCCTTCTTGATAAAATTAAAGTGTGGTTACTTTAGAGGATTTACAGTAGGAGGAAAAATTGCCTCAGGGTTAAAGAGACAGGATCTTCAACTAGGGAATATGGGTTTGGACTTCCTGTTTACATACAGTAGCTGATTGCTTTTAACTGGTCAGCGCTGCACATTTTTTAACAACAGGCTTCCACATGGCTAAAGCTGTTACAAGCTAAGAAAATGTTATAACTGCAATCCAATTTAATAAATTAAGGACTTTACACATATTGTACAAGGACAGGGCATGTTTGTGAGGGTCTATTGTCAGCTGCTTGTAATCTGTGAAGCTGTTTTTCAAGTCAGGCTTACAATGTGACCCAGCTCTTTGCTTTCTCTGTCATTAAACAAAGCTGACAGGTATAAGCAGTGTTGCTTTGTTGCCCCTCTGGCCTCCTTCTTCCCCTCTGGCATCTCAATGCCTGACCCAGATTCTCGTGTTTGGACGTGGAGGAGTAATGTGATCCCTCTGATGACCCTCTAGACATTTATACTAATCCCCAAGTCATATGTCCCAGAATAAAGATCCCAGCCAAGGCTCCCCTGAGATGTTTACAGTATAAATTTAAGACCTGTATAGCATGATCACAGTAACTGACTGTAATGTTGAATCATTTAAGAACATCGATAAACCGCATAGCCTGTAAACACAGACCTGTCTAATAAACAGTAAAAAGTAATAGTAAGGTAACAAACTGAGAAAACAAAGGAAACAGTTATTCATATATTAAAGCATAATTACAAACCAAACATTTAATGCATGAACCCTTCCAAACCTTTGATACTCAAGACTGACACCCTAAACAGTCTAAGATTACCTAGTGATATAGTACTCAGCATATACTGAAGGATCATGGGTGCTCATACCACCCTTGACCAATCTCATGCAGGAGGAGAGAGAGGCAAGAGAGGAACAAATAGACACAGCTGGTGTCTGCAGACAGGATAAGAGGTAGACCTGCTTGGAACAATATTAGCAACATCCAAACAGTAGACTGGACATACATAATCTTCTTGCTCATAAACTGTGTGAAAAGTAAGTGATCTGCAATCTTTTGTCTTCTAGAGGTGTAGGTGTAGGGGATTAGTACAGATTATAACTATAATGAATTAAATGGCAGTAGCTAATTCATGCCTCGAGAAAGACTGGGAGGAAGGAAAAAGAGAGCTGGAGGAAAACAGGAGGAGAAGGTGGAGGGAAAGGGTGAGTTGTTGGGCAAAAGTGGAGGTGAGTGACAAAGAGGAAGGTGGAGAACAAGAAGATGATAACAGTGAGGAAGAGGAAGAAAATGAAATTAGGGAAAAGGTAAAGGAGTGGGAGGAAGATATGGAGGTGAAGGAAGCAGATGAAACTGGAGATGAGGAGGAGCTTAAGGAGAACAGAAGGGAGGACAAGGAGGAACACAAGAAAGTTACTGAATCAGATGAAAGGGCTGACATGGAAAAAGAGGAGGATAATGAAGTGGAGGAGATGGCTACAGATAATGGGGAGATGGATGAACATGAGAAAGAAGTGAAAAAGGTACAGGAAGTGGGGGAAAGGGATAGAAAAGGAGAAAATGGGGTAGAATGGAAATTTATGGGGAGAGAGAAAGATGATGAAGAGGAGGAGGTGAAGGAAGGAAAGGCACTGGAGGACGAGAAGAAAGAGGGACAACATGACAATGAGGCGGAGGTTAAAGAGACTTGGGAGGTGGAGGAGGTGGAAACAGAAGAAATGGAGGAAGAAGGAAAAAACGAGGTAGAGAGTGAGGGGGTAGGTGAGGAGGAGAAGCAGGTGTGGGCAACAGATCAGGTCCAGGAGGAAGATGATGGAGAACAGCTGCTCAGAGAACAGACAAGAATGGCTGAGGCTGAGAATATTCAGCAAAACCAAGAATGTAAAGCTGATGCAGAAGAACCGGTTGCACAATGCTGGACAACTAAAGATGAAGAGCTTCAAGATTTTCACAAAAAACCTCAAGAAGAAGAAGAGGAGGAAACTACAGATGATGAGGAAGCAGATCAATCAACAGACAAAGAAGGAAACAGTAATGGTGAAGATGTGGTAAAGATTTACACTAGACTTGATTATCCCACAGACATTTTCCACACCTTGACACAGTTCAGGGACTCCTCCCTTCTCACTGACCTAACATTGAGCACAGATGAGGGGAAGAGTCTCCATGTACACTCCCTCATCCTGGCTGCTGTCAGTTCCCTTATTTTTGGCCACCTGAGCAAAAGCAATCTAGAAATCAACAGACCTGATGAAAGAAAAGACAGTGATACAAGTATTGAGGTCCGCAGGTGGTCGGTGTCTCTGGGTCCAGAAGTAGATCATGTTGGATTAGAAGCAATTGTGCAGTTTGCCTACACAGGGCTCATACCATGTTTGAATGAGAACAGTGTGGACCAAATAAAGTCTGCAGCTCAAACTCTGGGTGCCTCCAGGGTGCTGGAGCTCTGCACCGAGGAAAAGTCCACAAAAACTGGAGGGCAGAAGAAAGATGAAAGGATCTTGGCTGAAGAACAAATGATGATCAGTCTTCAGTCGATCAAAGGTCTTTGGATGGACAGATTGGGCTGTGATGTCATTCTGGAAGCTATCGGAGGATCGCTTCACGGTGAGTAGGTCACCAGTAGATTAATTTACACAAAAGTATAATAGTAGCCTACTGTAGGTGAATTCCAGTTCCCCTAATTGCATCCATGTTTCTCTCAGTGAATCAATAACTGAATTCAGTGTTGAGCTCTGTCTCTAGAAACAGTTTACCTCCAGTAGAACATCATTTTTAATATCCCTGGTATGCAATACAGGGTTTGATACTTTTCAAAGAGAGAGTCGTCATTACTCAGTGCTGTGTTGCCTTCAGTCCACAGAGTCATCCTGGCTGCAACTAGTGACTACTTCCGTGGCATGTTCACCTTGGGTATGAGAGAGTCCTATCAAGCTTGTGTTACCCTTCCCTTACTGTTGGCTTCTGAGCTGGAGGTTCTGATCAGCTGCTCCTACAGCGGGGCTCTGCCCCTCAGGTGGAGCTGTGTCTTTGAGATCACCAGCACAGCTCTCCAGCTTCAGCACCAACCTGCCCTCTCCTTGTGCTTTAACTTCCTGCAGCAAGAACTTAATCCCCAGTCCTGCCTGGATGTGGTATCTTTTGCCGAGGCTTATGAGATAGTGCAGCTTCTCGAAGTTGCTGATGATTTTGTCTTGCGGCAATTTCAAAAGGTGGCATGCACCTCGAAGTTCAAGGACCTGCCAGCCAAACAGTTACTTAAGTACCTGAACAGTCACTCACTTTGTGTTTCATCAGAGCTTGTTGTATTCAAAGCAGTGGCAGCATGGATCCAAGCTAAGCCCAAGAAAAGGTTTAAACTTGCTAAGGAACTGATGAAAACTATCCACTTTTCTCTGATGACCTTCAAGGAATTCAGAGAGGTCCAGTCTCTGAAAATGTGGTCTGATCACAGCCTGGCAGAGCTCTACGAATCAGTCCTTCAGGATTTCTGCTCCAGTGAGACTGCACCACAGAGTCAGTGCCGCATCTATCTACCAAAAGAGAGTCTGGTCTTGATTGGAGGTGATCAGATCTCTGAAGATCTGGGCAGCCGAAGCATCAGCAGAGAACTCTGGTTTGGGAATTCACTGAGGAATCACACAGGAATAAAAAAAGCCCTGGAGTGGAGAAAGCTGGGGGAGATGCCAGAGCCAGCGAGGTTCAGTCATGAGGTGGCAGTGCTCAGCGGACAACTGTACATATTTGGGGGCAAGAAGTATTATGGCAGCGGTGACACCCTAAATTCTGTTTACAGGTGAGAGAGGATGATCTTGGATCACAACTAAGTACAACTGTTCTAAATAAGTTTTTCATGGTTTCTATTACATTTGTCACTACACCTGTAGGTATGACCCTGTTCACAGCAGCTGGGAGAGCCTGGCTGAAATGCAGGAAAAAAGATGCTCTTTCTCTGTGGTTGTGCTGGATGGAAAGATATACGCCATCGGTGGACACTGTGACCCTGAGCATATACATAGTGTGGAACAATACTGCCCCACTGCAAACTCATGGAGGTGCATTGGAAGGGACATTCATCTTTCTGTTTTTCTAATACTAACATCCAGTAATTTTAATGCTAGTTTATTGCATGGTTGTTATAACCTGGTAGTTCTCATCTGCTGTAGATAGCCAATTATCTGACATACCATGTCTCAGATTGAACAGTGTAGACAGTAAACTCTCACATTAAAAAATCTCCTTCTTTCAGCTTCACCTGGCCTTTGGATCTGCCTCTGAGTGGGCATGTAGCAAAGGTTTTACAAGGGAAGATCTTCATCTCAGGAGGGCGGAACAGTGACATCCAATGTGTTGCACATATGTTTCTATACTACCCAGAGACAAGGAGCACCTATCTGGCAAACATGACTAAACCTCGAGCTCATCACTGCATGGAGACCCTGGGTGAATGTCTTTATGTAGCAGGTGGAACCACCACAGATGAGAACATGTCTATTGTTGACCAGCTAGCTTGTGAGGCATACAATCCAGCAACCGACTCCTGGACTGCCTTCACATCTCTACCACTGCCACATGTAGGAGCAGGAAGTGCAGTTTTGGAGGATAGGTTTTATGTGCTTGGTGGGTACAGCCAGGAAGACTACAGTGACACTAAGATGGTCCATCGCTATGATCCCACCACACGGAGATGGGAGAACATGGGCAAGATGCCTGGGCCAAACAACGACTTAAGAGCATCTGTGCTGTGTTTACCACCACATTTTCGTTTGTAAGATATAGTGACAGTAGTAGCAACAAGATTTTTTAAAAATAGTTTGACAAAGATTTTTCTATTTTACAAGATGTAAAGATGATAAGCTTGAGTTTCATAATACTTTGATCAAAATTACTTTATCTTACATAGTGCATGGATTAATCCTTTAAGCAGGCTAAGTGTATTATATGCAGTACATTATGTAATAGTACTATACACTGTATAAAAAGTGCATTATCTTCGGATTTAATGTACTGTACTCAAAAGGTGCTGTAATAAAATTGTTTTTGTTTTAATTAGGGATGCAATGATAATATAAATTTCAATTAAATAATAAACTATAGCATATCATGTATTGCAATAACCAGCAATGAACAAAAGGGGGAGCTGGTGCTACATTATGCTTTACTCTTAGAAGAAGGTTGGTGTGTGCACCGCAGGTGCAGAGACCTGTGTTTTAAGGTTACCAGAGACAGAAGATGAGTTTGTAAGATGTTTATTGTTTTGAAAATACTGTTATGGAGATTCGCAAATGTATATTTTTGTTAAATTGTACTTAAAAAGAAAAACCTACACTGAGTTTTCAGTATTCAGTTTTTTATTAAAAAAATGTGTTTTATTAATTATGGAGGTAATCTTCACCAAGATTATTATACTGTTGACATTTCTATGGCAGCACATACTTTATGGCTGTGTCATAGTGTAAATGTTCTCAGGAACCACAGTGCAAATACATAGTGTTTGATCATCTACAGTAGATACAGAAGAGAAGCCGCTAAACAAGTCACCAAATGTTTGCAATAACACCATTCAAGATTTCGAGTGGTTGAATTTCAAAGTTAGAGCACTTTAATGATCCACTAAAGGAAGTAAGTCAATTTAGTGCAGACTGGTTGTCTGCGAAACCCAATAAGTTAGGTGAGTTGAACGGGAACTCAACTAGATCGACTTGTTTGTTAGCGATTTATGATCAGGGTTCTCACACATGTCGAATTTTTCTTCGCCTAGTGTATTGTTTCACTTGCATTTAAAATAAAGTGATCCTAAAAAGCACTTGCATCTAGACAGTAAAGTCCTGCACCAAACTATGTAATGACAGACATAATCACCACAACAAACTATATCAAATGAGGACCTGCCCAGATTTGGAAATGGGGTCACACGACTGTTTTATTTCACAGCAAGTCCTTTTAAAATAAACTGAGAAGACCAAGTGAACATTTACTGCCAGTCATAATCAATAAATCCAAACAAAAGCAAAAACCACTTTGTTATCTGTTTAGGGTAATCTGTAAAATGTTTAATTTTGTTTCATTAAATATAATAATGGAATAAAACTGAAACATTTTTAAATAGCTAACTTTGTCACTCAGCAACAAGGTAAAACTTGCATAACATGAACCATAGCAGTAGACTTACATCTAACTTAAAACCTAAATCTAATTTGTTAATGATCCAAAACACTCAAGTAGATTACACTAAAAAAGTCTGTGCATTCTAACAAATGCTATATGTGCAGCAATATATTGTAATCATTTCACCATGAAGCTTCAGTCATGGCGATCACCTACTTACTGTCTAAAGTGCTGAGGCAGTTGGAACAGACAGGCCCGAATGTCACTAACAGCCCCCAGCAGTTTCCCCATATTCTCCCATCGCTGTGTGCTGGGGTCATACCGGTGGACCAGTCCAGACTCACTGTAGTCATCCTGGCAATATCCTCCCAGTATATAAATCTTCTCCTCCAGGATAGCTGAGGCTGCACCCACATGTGACACAGGCAGTGGTGCAAAATCAGTCCAGCAGTCAGTCACAGTATCATACACCTCACAGGCTTGTTGGTCAGTGTAATATTTCCTCAGGTTACACACTCCACCAGCAACGTAAAGATGACCTCGGAAGGCCTCCATACAGTGCTGGGCCCGGTCATGGGTCATTTCTGCCAGGTAGGTGGTTCCTCTCTCTGGGTGGTACAGGAACATGGAAACCAGACACACATACTTACAGTCAAAACCTCCCGAAATGAAGATTCCTCCATCTACAACTGTGGCAGCATAGCCACTCAAAGCCTGGTCCAGTGGATGGACAAAGCTGAGAAAAATGAAACCAGAGTCAGCAAACAGGAACATAGTGCAGGTGTAAAACCAAATAATCTAGCATCTAAGGCCAAAGAAAAAATTGAGAAAAGACTGGCCAATGATTGAGCAGTTAAAAAGCCACGAATTTCAGTATCTGAATAATCTGAGTCATTCTATCATGTACCTTTAAACCTTATGAGAAAAATGCTGGTGACATTGCACAAGTTTAGGAATTCCAAGCAAAAACTACTCCTCCTGCCATCCAAATGCACGCGTGCACACACACACACACACACACACACACACACACACACACACACACACACAGAGAGAGACAACTAGACAGGTAGATGACTGATACTACCATGTCTGTGTAATTGCCTCCTTCTGGCTTGAAATGCAAATGCCCAAAACTCCCTAAGTAGTACATTAGACATTTCCAGGTATGTAATGTCAACATTCAGTGGTTCTTGATATTTTCTATCTTATCCATTGAAGGAGGAAACAAAGGTTACCAAGACAAGGAAGCACTTAGAAGCAACTGTACTGTACCTGATGCAGTCAAAGTGGTGCCATCTGCTGGCCAAGTCTTGGTATTGCATTTGCATGAAAAGACTGAGGCTCAAAAAATACAGTGCTGTAATTGAACTCACAGCTTTCATCCTTATTGTTTAATATCATATTATTTAAAAAATTGACCAGTATTAATAAGCAGATTGACAACATGTGTCAGCATTTCAATACCTGATATATGAGAGTTTTGGCATGCTAAAGCTGGACCTTGATACATCTTGCCCAAGTACCTCTGCTTTGACTGCTCAGTACTGTGTCATGTGCTCTGCTTTAAGTGTAACATCATTAGTCTTACCTCCATGAGTCAGTGTGTGGGTTGTACATCTCCACGCTGTCTTCATTGGTGTTGATGTCCTTATCTCCACCAATGGCATAAAGGCACTCCTCATGTACCACCACTGAGAAATTACTTCTATACTCTTGCATGTCCGGCAGCCTTTTCCAGCTGTCCTGCTTGGGGTCATAACTAACATGTGTGTAATCAAAGTAAAGATGGAAAAAGTGAGAGCATAGTTATGTATCTGTGTGACAAACTGCTTATTAAAAGTGAGAATAGGATGTTTGCACAGTGATTGCGCCTTATACCTATAGGCAGATTTCATCATGTCATCCTTGGCATAGAAGTAACATCCTCCAACCACATATAGCTTCCCCCTCAGTGCTGCTACTCCATGCCTGAACTTCGGCTTGTCTGGCATCTCACACAACTTTCTCCACTCTATGTCCTTGACTAACCCTGTGCCACTGCGTATGGAATTTGCAAACCACACTTCTCTGCTTGGTATGCGTTGACCCACATCTGGGTTCAGCTGGTCTCCTCCGACTAGAACCAGGGCATCTTTGGGGCGCCTGACCCTGCACAGATCCTGGCTTTTTGGAAGGCTGAAACCAAATTCCTTGAGCGCAGAACCATAAAGTTCCACCTCCTTGTCTCCAAAGCACTCCATGCGCAAGTTAACCGCCCTGACCTCCCTGAACTCTCGAAAGGTCATGAGGGGAAACCGGACGCCAGTCATCAGTAAGCCAGCCTGGCCTAGTCTCTCTTCAGGATCGGCCTCAATCCATGAGATTACAGCTCGAAATACAGCCAACTCTGATGGAACGCACAGACCATCGCAGCAGAGGAAGTCTACCAGCTTCTCAGCTGGTAGGTCCAGAAACTTTGCTGTGGCTGACACCTCCCAGAAGTTCTTCAGTACAAAGTCATTGGCTTTTTCAAGAAGCTCTAACATCCCATAGGCTTCAGCAAAAGATGCCACGTCAAGGCAAGAGCTTGCCTCCATTTCCTGTTGCATGAAGTCAAGGCAAAGCGAAAAGGTTGGCTGGAACTGAAGCTGGAGGGCTGTGCAGGTGATTTCAAAGACACTCTCCCAACTGAGTGAAAGGTTCCCACTGTAGGAGCACCTAATAAGAACCTCTAACTCAGATGCTAACAGAAAGGGAAGGGCAACACAGGTTTGATGGGATTCCTTCATCCCGCTGGTGAACATGCCACGGAAATAATCACTGCTGGCTGCCAGGATAACTCTGTGGACTGGAGACAGACACAAATAAAGTTCACACATTGATCACAATCAAATAATCATCAATACGCTGCTAAAGATTAGAGTCAACAAAGAACATGTCCACTTACCATGGAATAAAGCCCTGTTCACATTCAATATCACATCACATCCTACTCTGTCTGCCCACAGCTGTTCAATGGACTGAAGCGTAATTGTCATCTGTTCTAGAGCAGAGATCTTTTGTTCTTCTTTCTTGGTACTTCCATCTTCTTTTAGCCTTCTTTCCTTGTTGCAGAGATCCATCACTCTTGGAACTCCTAATACCTGAGCTGCAGCCTTAATCTGAGGCACTGTGTCTTTGTTTAAAGATAATACAACCCCAGTGTAGGCAAACTCCACCACTGCCTGAAGCCCAACATGGTCAACATCAGTATCCAAAGACAGTGACCACCTATGAACGCCTGCATCTTTGTCACTGTCTGATTGTTGCCATTTTTTTCTCCTTAGTGTCTCCAGGATGAAGGAGCTGACAGCAGCCAGGACAGCTGAGTGTACATGGAAACTGATCCCATTCTCTGTGATCAGAGTCAGGTCTGTGAGAAGAGATGAATCTGAGAATTCCTTCAGGGCCATGAATAACTCTTTAGGGTAGGTTTTGCTGTAGTATGTGTGAACCCTAGCACAGAGCCCTTTTCCCTCAAATTGCTCCTCAGTCATTTGCTCCCCAATTATTTCCTGACTAGTTCCACTCATTCCGACCTCTGACCCTTCTTCCTTAGCCATCCAACTCGTCAGGCCCATCCTAGAGTCATTGTATGCAACGATCCTTCTCAGCTCTCGGTTGTCCTGCTCTATCCCTTCTCCACCTTCTTCAATCACTCTTTTCCTCCTTTCCTTGTCTCTCCTCCATCGCTCTTCCCATTCCAATGGCAGGTAATGCCTGGTGAACTCCATGTCAGTGATGATCTCTTTGAAACAACCTCAGTACCTGCAGTGGCCTTCTTGTTCTTTATAATTGCTGATAATATTTAGTAAAAGCAGTCAAATGGCTGAATTTTCTATTCTTGCTATTTACTTTTTCTCTGCACAAACCTTTCACCCTCAAATCCTCTCTGTCTCGCTCAGACTCAGTTTTCCTCAGTGCATAAACAAGAGGTTATTAATAGCTACTGGGCCAGAGAGATTCGGTTTCAACTGAGTCTTCACAACAAGGAAGGTGAGATGAACTTCAGTGTCCAAGTTAGATTTCTTTGGTGCGACAGTAAAGAGCAAGGTAAAATATCCCCTACTATAGACCTAGCCTATCTTTGACTTCAACTTTAACAGCGCTCTACTTTTATCTCCATCACTCTTTTGGTTTCATTTGGCAGGCACAATCCAGCAATGTTCTGTCAGTGGTGATAGAATTACTAATGACTTTCAACAAACCCTAACTTTTGTAAGCATTATAAATGTGCTATTTTCTGTCTTCATAAATATACACTTCGCTGTAATGTTAATCAAAAAAAAAAATTTTAGACTTACCTTAGCCAATAATGAGCCACGTAGACAATGAACAATTTCTGTCAACTAGTAACGCCATAAGAATCCAAAAGAAAAAACTACCAAGAAGACATAATAAAAGTCTTAACTTTATTTAGAGATATAGTTTTCGCAGTAGCCTTGAATAAACACCCATAAACATGTCTATAACACAAACAGAAATTAACCTCAACTTAGATTTCATTCACTGTCAGTTAACAGTCATTTCAGTAATATACACAAATTTGGCAGCAAGAAGAAGCCATCTGCACTTAACAGCATGGTGACAGAACTAAGTACTATTATAATAATATACTACTATGTTCAAATATAATTATACAGAGCTATAGCTTTCCATGCAAACCTTGTGTTGAATTATTCTGTAGTGAGCTTATACCAAAGTTATGACTACATATAGTTTCTTTTGGCAGTAATGCATTAATCTTGCACTTGACTGTGTTGTGGAGAAGTCAAATACTAGCAACATCTCAAAGCTTCAAAATATGAGCAACTGTATCTCTTACATTCAGTGCAAGACCTGTGGAACCATAAGCATCATTTTAATTTCACTGGAGCTTCACACTAAATGATTATTTTGTACTGCAGTATCAATATATTTATACTACTGTTTACATAAAAGCATAAATGGTAGAACAGTGTTTAACCGTTAGCCCCACTCACAGTCTTCATGCTCACTGGGACTTACTAATCTTATGTGGCAGTAAACACGCCACACGGTCACGCCGAATACTGCTCTTAACTAGGACTAGGTACATACGTATGTAGGCTCAGTTAATAATGTGTAAACACAACTTTGCCTTTGCTACTACATTTATCTTCAAAATTATAATATGCCACATACTTTCACACATGAACAAATTTCATTATCTTTATTGCATTGTTAAAAAAAGTGTATTAATTATGCTCATAATGTGACTTTGTAGCAAGCTAATTTATTGAATAATGCACTAAAACTAGAAATATACTGATATATACTTATAACTGGTATAATGGCTTTTTGACAGACTTCAAAGTAACTGTTAATCAAAAAAAGTTCCAGATAGAATAAATGAAAATATTGTCAGTATTGTCAAAGTTATTGCACACATAGTAGATGATTACATCACAAGACATAAAATAACTCAAACAAAAAGCTAGTCTTCCTCCCAACTGTCACTAAGGACTTGCTCAAGGGGAATTTGTTGGGTTTTTTCCTCTATAATAATAATAAAATAATAGCCAGGCCACAGTAGAAATAACTAGCAAAGGAAACTGTATGGATGAGTAACAGAGAATGAAAAACATAGGTGAGAAACAGCAGAAACTAAGACAGGCAGATGGGTAAGTATACTGATGGCACAGGAAAGTGCAACAGTCCAACCACTAAGGCAGGCTCAGGCAAGAAACACAGTAAGAATACTGGTAGAACCTGGGTATGGGGCATGTAAACAAACCAGAGTAGGTAACAGACTAATTCATGGTCAAAGGAATGGAAACATTTCATTTCAAAACAGACAGGACAGGCAAAACGTTCAGAAGATGGCAAACCACTACTCAAAACCAGGGAGAAACTGGAGTCCCACACAAAATAATTCAGACAGAAACTTGGGGACAAAATACTGACCAGAGGATCAACAGATCAAATGTCCATACACAGATGAAAGCAGTGTTTTGAGCAGGGGAAAAGCAGCGTCAGGAAAATGAACAGGTCAGAACCAGGATGAGCA